AAGAAATGTAAAATATTAATTTTGAATAAACTTACCGTAAAATCGAATTGAGAACTATACGGTATTTATATACTGCTTACTATCACTTTCATATTAATATTGTGAGTCAGCAATATTTGTTATTTGTTGTGAATTGTGCACTAATAAAACTAAGTATAGACTATAAATTATATATTTTAATAAGAAACTCTGGTAAGAACGGTAAGAATAAAAATAAATCAGTCGGTTAGCCATGTATCTCCATAATAGAGTGGACGCAAGAAAAATAAATAATTAAAGAACTAAGAGCGTGATTGTCGACGAACTAGTTCGCATAGTTCACCTAAAAGAGCGCTCTTCCAACCTAGGTCGTTCGCGAACTACCCAAGACTATGCTGGAGTCAGTGTGCTCTGAGCTCCTACACGTGGAACCCGTGTCGTTAGAGCGTCTGCCAGCGCACACGCTCACGTCATCTTATCAGTCGATAATATTATTACTTATTAGGTTATTTATAGGTAGTATTATTTGTTTGTTTTGGGTATAATTTTTCGTATTAGTTATTTTTTATTATAATATATATATATATATATATATATATATATATATTTGTTGTTTTTTGCTGCGCGATGAAGCTTTTTGCGTGTATTTTCTTTGAAGTAAATGCAAATAAAAAAATGAAGCACCATTAGCATGTAAGGTTCGAATTCATAATTAAAATTTCGACAAATATTATAATTTACACTATAAAAGGCTAATTCAATATTATCACCCAACCACAATATCTTATTAAGTATAGTACTGCCTCGTTGGTCTAGTGGTTGTAGTAGTGCGACTGCTGATCATGAGGTCCCGGGTTCGAATCCTGGGTCGGGCCAAAAAGTTTTGAGTTTTCCATTTATGTTCTAAGTTATAATTAGTATTACTATTTATAGTTCTTTGCTAAAATATAGTATATTATTTATTGCTTGTTTTTTCTTCTTTTTCAAAAAATAATTGAGTACATAAGGTGTTCTATACTTATAATTCGGTAAAATGTATCTAAGTAGGTACTAATATACCTACTTTTTACTATAAACTAAAAAAATTTAAAACTAAATTTAACTAAAAAGACTAAACTGACCATTTATTTTTTAACTCAAAACAGGACATGGGTTTATTTATACTCTAAAAACTATAACTTTATACAATTAGTGTTCACTATAAAATTATATTCGGTATAGACGGTAATTATTAAATGCAACATATTTTTTTAAATTATTAATTACATTTGTAAGTGGATTAAATTTGCTTTAATAAAGTTGGTGATGATTTTAAATAAGAATAAAATTCTGCTCAAGTTTTTTTATTGTTATCTTTGTTAACAACATCGCCTTTAGAACTGGAACCGTAAGTGTTTCTTTCAGACGTCCACAATTTATTCAAAATAAAAAAATACTCTTTCTACCGGAGCATTTGTACCAGGTAGACATAAAATATATTCGATTAAAATAAATTATGTTGAAGATTGTTGACTTTGAATACTTCCATCGAACGAGTTACGGGACAATTTTGTGTCCCAGAGCTTTGTTTGGGGACAATGGGACAGGTGACCGAGAAAAGGGACAGTCCCGTTCAAAACGGGGCGTATGGTCACTTTAGCTATAACCCGGCGACGGCTCCGTGGCGCAGTGGCTTAGCAATCAGTTGTTGCGCTGGGGGCCGCGGGTTCGAATCCCGCACGGAACAAGTATTTGTATGGCCTACAAATAATTGTTCCGGGTCTGGATGTTAGTCCTTGTGCAATTTATGTTAGTAAACTGCCTCCACGACACAGGAGAAAATCCTAGTGTTGGGGTAACGTTTTTTTACAATTGAAATTGAAAGATTGAACCCTTATACTTCTTGTTGATTTTTGTATTACCTTTATTAAAGTTACCCTTATGTATAAATAAATATAATTACGTATGTAGAAATAAAATTGATTTTCATCTTCATCAATCATTGGGGTGAGGATAATGTCTGCCAGCATAAGTAGTAAGCAGGCTATGTTACAAGGTGCTCAGTTCAAAAAATTGAAGGTAGGTATGTTACTTTTTAATACGTGACACGTAAAAATTAACAATAATCAAAAACACATCTGCGAAACATCCTATTTATTTATTTATTCTTTATTGCACCAAATATTTGTACAAAAGGCGAGCTATCTATTTATTTACCTATAGTGAATAGGTATCTTTTAAACTCACAATTTTCAATGCTTAATTTTTAATATATAATTAATTATAAAATTTCATAATTAGATAATATATGAAAATACATAATTCTAATATAATGCAACTAATATACCGAATAAAAAAATTAAAATACATTTATCGTTGTACGCTGTGTGTATTTCCATAAATTAGTTTATTGATGTTGAAAAAATAATACTACGTTCGTACCTACAATAGGTGGCGTCATAAGCAAGGTCGTTCGCATGGAGTAGCCCCTTAAGTTATTACGTAATTAGCTAACTTTACAACATCTTATAGTGATCATATCAATATTAAAAATCTTTTGTGTTTTAAATAAATAAATCGCCAAGTCAATCGCACTAAACAATCTAATTTAATATAATATGTATATATTACTTGAGAGATACATTGTGTTTTTATGCGATGGCCAAGTCAATCTATTTATTTAATACATACAAGATTTTTGATATTGATATGGTCACTATAAGATTTTGTTAGGTTAGCTAATTACGTAATAATTTAAGACAGAAGGACCCTTAAGTAGGGACTGAATAAATTAAGTGACTTGGTATTACATGGATCTCACATATTTTTACGGTAGAAGAACTGAGTTGCGAGACTTGGCTTTTTTTACAAGTTATGTTTTTGATGGCATAACCCATTTACGCTAAAATTAGCACTCGCCAAATAAAAAGAAATTCTGCCAAAATAAGCTCAGTTCAAGGCTTGATTTACGTATATGACCTAAAAATTATGAAACGGATTATTACGTTAAATAAAAAGTATTTCAATACGATAATAAACTAACAACGAGGAACAACGCACCGAAAGAATACGTCGATATGTAAAAAGTTGACATAGATAACTTTTAAAGTCTATTCTGCGCAAAATATCTACCTTCACTTAGGGGGAGGTCTTAGATATAGGATATATTTAAGACTATACTTATGTATAGTCTAAGGGGGAGGTGTATATTGAAGTGAATTAAAATGATATTTCTACATGTTTTATTATTATTTCGTCACATTATTCGAAGATATAGATGTTATATATATATATATGTATTTTATATACATATATAAGTTTAACAGGTAGTCCTTTCATTGTTCGGGCAATAACTTGCATGCTTTTTCAGATTCTTAAATATCGATTAGAAAATCGATTTTAACTGTCGATTACTTCCTATCCCTTCCCTACTTTGTTCCCGTGATCTTGCTTCATTCTTTTATTGTGCGCGCAGTGAACCGCACGCGTCAGTTACAATAATAATGCCGAAACGAAGTGCCGAAGACCAAATTGCGTTTTATAGGAAAAAGATTAAGAAATTACAAACTAAAGAAGACAAACGTCGTAGGCGAATCATTGTGTACTCCGAAGAGGTCTAATAGAAAAGGACCAAAAGGACAAAATAATCAAGGACTATGCCACCCCACAAAACTGCAAGCTGTTAAGTGCGCCTATTTTAAATCCTGAAATAGCGGCTGCTGTTTCCGAATTTGCACGAACACGGGATAAAAAATTGAAAATTCGCAACAACAAATAGGGGTAGGCCTTACCGCCATAAATAAAGCTATTACTATTTTGCTTACGAGCGATAACAAGGTACAGGCTATAAAATGTTTGTCAGATGCATGTAGGATTTTATCCGACCTACATGCTTCAGAAACTCAAACTCGAATCAAGTCTTTAACACAAGGATTGGAGAAGACTTTTGCGAATGTAATTCAAGATAGTGAAAGAGATGAGATGCTTTTTGGTAGTAACTTATCTGAAAAAATCAGAGCATCTAAAGCTATCGAGAAACAAGGTTCTCAAATTAAAAAACCGGACACCAAGGCTCCAGGTCCATCATCTTTTCGCTCGACAAGGCCGCAGGGAAACTGGAGAGGCCCTTCTCGCTCGATGCACAAAGGGGGACGAGGAGGGTCCAGGAAGAACGCCCCAATGAACCAGAAACCCCAGTCGTCACAGGGCGGCTTCAATTCAACAAGAACTTGGAACAGACCATCACGTGCAGGCCCTCGGACATAAAGGTACATGCCGGTAGATTAAAATATTTTTACAATTGTTGGTGTAATATAACTAATAATAGAATAGTTTTAAATTGGATCCGTGATGGTTTCCCCATCCCATTTAGTAAAAAAGTAAAAAATATTACGGACACTCGCCATGAGTGGTTACCGACCGAAAAAACACAATTGTTTAAAGCTATCGAAAAATTAATTGATCTAGAGGCCATATCCGTTTGTAAATCATCCCAAACTCAATATATATCTAATATATTTCTAGCACCTAAGCCTAATGGGGACTATCGTTTTATTTTAAATTTAAAATCATTAAATAAATTCGTAGAAAAGTTACATTTTAAAATGGAAGACTACAGAACTGTTATCCTGCTGATATCGGAGGGGTGTTACATGGCCACCGTAGATTTAAAAGAATCCTACTTACTAGTTCCAATTAAACCTAATCATAGAAAATTCTTAAGATTCCAATTTAAGAAAGATAATTCTCAATTAGTCACATGTGAATTTAATGCGATGCCTTATGGCCTCTCGGCAGCCCCGAGAACTTTTACAAAAATAATGAAGGTAGTTGTAGGCTATTTGAGAAATCGGGGCTTCAAATCGGTAGTATATCTCGACGATATTTTATGTTTAGGATCAAGTTTTGAAGAATGTCAAAAAAATGTTACGGAAACTCTTAAACTTTTAAAATGTCTAGGTTTTATTATTAATTACGAGAAAAGTAATTTAAATCCTGTAAATGAGTGCAAATATTTAGGTTTCATTTTTAACTCTATAGATATGTCCATTAGTTTACCGATTCAAAAGCAGAATTATATTTTCAGACTTGTCCAAAAATATATGTTACTGCCTCAATGTACCATTAAAGAATTTGCACATTTAATAGGAGTTCTAACAGCAGCATGTCCAGCTGTTAGTTATAGTTGGATGTATACAAAAATGTTAGAAAGGGAGAAACATTTAGCTTTGCTTAAATTTCATAATAATTATAACGCCAAATTCACTCCTTCTACCGATATATTGCCAGATCTACTTTGGTGGTCTAAGTATATTTATATTTATAAAAATAAAATAGAGAGACCAACATTTCTTTTAGAAATATTTTCTGATGGATCAAAACAGGGCTGGGGTGCCTTCTGTAATAATGTACGCACTGGGGGTAAATGGAAAACGGAGGAACTTGAGCTTCATATTAATTATTTAGAACTCAAAGCAGCGTTCCTTGGTTTAAAAATATTTGCTCGCGATGAATGTAACTGTGCAATATTATTGCGATGTGACAATACTACCGCAATAAGTTACATAAATCGAATGGGAGGAATAAAATATGCCCACTTAAACAAAATCACAAGAGATATTTGGCAATGGTGTGAGCAGCGAAGAATATGGCTGTATACATCATACATAAACTCAAAAGATAATAAAGAAGCTGATCAAGAATCTCGCAACAAAAATGCAGACACGGAATTAGAAATATCTAAGACTACATTTCAGAATATTACCGACATTTTAGGAAAACCAGACATAGATCTCTTCGCTTCTCGCGCCAATGCCAAATGTAAAATGTATGCATCGTGGAAACCAGATCCCGATTCTTTTACAGTAGATGCTTTCACCATAAGTTGGACACCATACTTCTTTTATGCTTTCCCACCATTTACATTAATTTTGAAGTGCCTTCGAAAGATCAAGACAGATAGGGCAGAAGGCATCCTAGTATTTCCTTACTGGCCCTCTCAACCGTGGTTCCCGGTTTTAAGAGCTATGTGTAGCTCCGAAATTATTTATTTAGACGCTAACCAAAGCCTCTCAAACTTTTCTTGCAGGAAAAGGAAACAGTTCCAACTTTCCCTGGGAGTCGCGAGGCTATCCGGGACGCTTTCCTAAGAAAAGGAACTCCTGAAGCAGCCTTAGATATAATGTTGTCTTCATTGGCGCAAAACACCTTACAACAGTATGGTTGTACTTATAAATTGTGGTGGAAATATTGCAATGACTTAAATTTAAATCCTTACAATACTTGTGCGGAATCAATAGTTCTATCATTTCTTACAGATCTTTTTAATCAGGGTGCGACATATGGCTCACTCAATAGCCACAGGTCTGCTTTAGCTTTATTATTAAATATTGACGTTAGTAATAATAACTTATTAAATATATTTTTTAAGGGAGTATACAAACTAAGACCATCGTTTCCGAAATATATTAGTACATGGGATCCGCAGGTAGTACTTAATTACATAGCACAATGGAAACCTCATGACCAGGTGTCTATTGAAAAATTAACAAAAAAAACTACTATTCTCTTGGCTTTATGTACGGCCCATAGGGCGCAAACATTATCCTTGATAAAAATTAAGAATATTAAAATAAGTCCCAGTGATATTAAAATTGCCATTTATGATTTAGTAAAAACTTCTGCTGCGGGGCGTGAACAACCATTGCTGGTGCTTCCCTATTTTAAGGAAAATGTAGACATATGCCCAGCAACTGCTATCAAAGACTACATTTCCCGAACGGAACAGTTGAGAACTAGTAAGGTGGATAATTTATTACTAACGTTAAAACGTCCATACCGAGCAGCTACGAGTCAGACGATCGCGCGATGGGTTAAACAAGTCGTAACGGAAAGCGGAGTGGATGTGGCGACGTTCAGCGCTCACAGTACGAGACACGCTGCCACATCCGCGGCTAGAAGCGCAGGAGTCTCACTCGATGTAATCCGAAGAACCGCGGGTTGGACATCAACGTCTATTATATTTGCTAGGTTTTACAATCGACAAGTAGTAGACAATAATGAATTCGCAAGAGCAGTGTGTATTAAAGATTAATTTCACAATGTAAAATTATCATATTATAAATTTTCTGAGAAGTTGTAAACTAATTATGTTTTTTGTTATTAAATCTAAATTGGTTGATAACATTTGGTCTCATTTTACCTTTAATGTAGAATATGTTTCGGCAAAACTAATCTCTAAACATCTACCTGTTAAACTTATATATGTATATAAAATACATATATATATAACATCTATATCTTCGAATAATGTGACGAAATAATAATACATGATCAAACGAACTTCTAAGTGAAGTTCGATCAGTATTATATGAGTCACTTTATTCGAAGATATAGATAAAGTTCCCACCCGTCCCAGCCCGAGAGGGTTTTGCCGAATCAAGAGTATATTTACTGACAAATAATCTCTGAAAAATGAAGCAAGATCACGGGAACAAAGTAGGGAAGGGATAGGAAGTAATCGACAGTTAAAATCGATTTTCTAATCGATATTTAAGAATCTGAAAAAGCGTGAGAGTTATTGCCCGAACAATGAAAGGACTACCTGTTAAACTTATATATGTATATAAAATACATATATATAACATCTATATCTTCGAATAAAGTGACTCATATAATACTGATCGAACTTCACTTAGAAGTTCGTTTGATCATGTATTATTTAGCAATTGATAAATTGTCAGCAACAGCTTTCAGTACAAATTTTCGACTTCCCGTTACTTCAAGCAAATAACTAACTGCTTTGTCCTTCGTAGACAATTTTAGACTTTAAAGTTTGGACAAAAACTAATTATTAGTTTTGTACATGGTCGTTATCTTTATGATCACAGTATCTAATATTGTTGTAAAATATTAAATAATGCATAGAAAATATCTGAAATTACTGAATTACTTGGTAAGAGTAATCAAAATTAATTTCTTATTCATTTTACTCTTACACAAAACTATGAAACTAATTTAAAACTCGACAAACTAAAAGTTCGAGTGTTCGAATTGTAAACTTCTTTAAAATGCATTAAATATTTTTTGCTAAATGACTTAAGCCACAAAGAGTTTTACCAAGCAGTAGTACACCGATAATGTGTGTTTGTGTTCAGTTTTAAAGTGTAAATAAGTCGGTATGATTACAATCTGTGCATTGCATCTTAGTCTAACCTATTAGTTAACAACAGATTTGTTTGAAAATGGATGATGACAGATGTATGTATCTATGCATGCAGGTGGTCTATTGCTTGTTTGCGTCTCTAATATTATAGAAACTATTGAATAGAGGACACTCGTTTAAATACCATAGCATGCAAGCAAGTAATCTGCATGTTTGTGACAAAAATATTCTTAACTCACGTGAAATCCTCTAACACGCACTAGAATAGCACGGCGTATTTCCACTAGTAGTAAGAGACAACAGAGGATAACAAACCGGAAGATAGTAAGCAGCATCTTCCTTATCAGAGCCCGCCAAGCTTGGCAACTCTGACATATTATATATGCTCTGTAAGGCAACCCATGGAGGTGGTCTATGTTTTGGGTTACAGTACTCGAGGGTATGCGCAAACACAGGCGTACTCTCTATTCCTATTTTACGTGGTAGAGTCATTCTTCAGCCATATCATAGTTTTAGCACGAATGGGTCGGCCAGAAAAGGACCACGCTCTCACAGAATACCAGCGTAAAATAGCAGCTCAATAGCACAGTAGTATTTCGTATGGTGAGTTTAAAGTATCGGATACCTTTTTTACTGGATACGAGGCATTCCATTCTTAAACAAGGATAGATTGAAATATCTATGGGTCACAGTATCCACTTACCATCGGTGGGCTATGTGCTCGCTTGTCACTCTTATTCTATAAAAAAATCCCTCACTCTCATAGATCGACGAATACGGCATTTCCACAATACCGGATGGAGATCAGGCGCAAGACAAACGGCATTACGTGCTTCTCGAGGCACGAGAGTGAAACACTGTCAACTTCCCGCACGACCCAGAGCTGCTCCTGTATATTTTCTGACATAAAACCTCAATAACTGCGTATAATTCTAACTTGGGATCCGAATCCGTGACCACAACATGATGTGCAGCCGCGTTTACGACGACTAGACCAATGAGGCAGTTTAACATTATTATGGCATAAATAAATATAAAGTTAATTTAATATGTAGTGAGAGACCCAAAATAAATTCAACTTTGTTCAAAAAAAGGACAGCATTAAGCACATTTTCCTCATCTTTTCTCGTTTAGCATATCTCCAAGTGTACTCAGTCTAAATGGCTTGCATAAAAATGCATAGTTTCATTTTCTTTAACGGACAGATTTTGTACCACGTATTACGCTCAAATTAACGTAGTTTCTGCATGCATAAATCTTAGTTTAGTAATTAAATGTTTACAGTAAATAAATTTTATGTGCTGTAGCAAGAAACTATAAAACATGTCTCTAAATATTATTATAATTTAAGAGTATTTATAAATGCTCTAACACTTTAAGAACAACTTAAAAGCAGAATTAAATAAACAGTAAAAAATTGTGAATTTCACTATTTATTTGCAAAAATCATCTACATTGTGCACGTGGTTGTTTATAGATTCTCATTGGTCATTTTTAAAGTAAATATTTTAAGGGCTGATTATTTATCAATCATCAGATAAAAGTTATTTTTGGGATAAAATACAAGATAATCAAATTATAAATTATAGTTGAAGGAATAAAGAGCTCAATTGTTTCACTTTTATATTCAGTGAGGTTATAACTTATTTGATGAATAGCTTTTATCTGTTTTATTTAACGAATGAAAAAATAGTCACATAAAACATTTTCATAGAATTAAATACAACTTAAACGGATTAAAACTTACAGTTGTATGAACAAAATAATAAAAAATGTTGACATTAATATTCAATCACAATAATATTTGATGGGATAAATAACTTTAAAAAAAGTTAAAAAAGTTAGAGCCTATATACGTCCTACGGCTGGGCACAAGCCTCCCCTAATTTATGAGGCAAGGAAGTGTCCGTCGCGCTGCCCCAATGCGTGTTGGCGAACTATACATGTCTTCGAATTTTTTTTTCTTATTTCTCAGACATGCAGGTTTCCTCACGATGTTTCCCTTCACCGCCGAGCACGTGGTAAATCAGCACTTAAAATTGCAATTAAAAATTTCATTGGTGCCTGCGGTGATCGATACCGGGTTGCTCGCGTACTGTGAAATTTATAACGATCGCTAACCACCTGAGCTACCACGTCTCTGAAATCTGCATATTATAATAATTAAATTATAATATTCTGATGATACTTACTAGAGTCACACTGTAACAGGAATATTTTGACTCGACCTGAAAAGAAGGCACGCGGTAGTGACTAAGCAATGTAGGTAGATCATTATCCGTATATAATATAGATATATATACAAAAGATAAAATCTGAAAACTGCAAATTATCGATATTAGGTTTAGACAAAGTTATTGATGCAAATTATCGATATTCGATGTCAACTTAAAAATATCCGCCCCAAAATGTTTGTATATTGACAAACATTTTGGGGCGGTTAAGTCTTTTTAAAAAAATGATTCTTATAAGCTGCCACAATATGACAATGTAGAAACAATTATTATAAATGACAAATGAATAGAAACACAATACAACATAAACTAGTGAAATTTTTTTGTTATTATAAAATTATTTGATTATTTATACGTAGATATGTATTTTACGACATTTATTTATGTATTTATATTATTATAACCTCCTGTTTTATTTTGCTCTGTCACCTCTGGAATATCATGATATGGGGTAGTGGATTTTCTAACACCGGCGTCTTATACGGCGTTCAGCATGGCAGAATGAATATTGCACCATCATTTATCGGTCGCCGGAGCGTCATTGGAAGTCATTGGTTCAATAGCTGGGTGCATTACGTGCGGTACAGCATCAAATATTTAAATTGCTCTGCGATGAAGAAAAAAGTCGTAAGGAAACTTGCTTATCTGAAGCATTAGATATTTTGAGGACATTGGCACAGCGCGGATGAATCTTTCCTATCATGAAAACCCTTTCAGAAAATAATCGGGGCATGTGCCCGAATTGATAAAA